AGCCCGTAGTACCTAAACGTGTGGGACACGGGCTTGTCTCGTACCTCTGACAACAAAACCTAACCACAGCTCAATTTTCTATGCACAAAGGGAAGTACTAATTACATATATATATTTATATGACTATCGTATTTAATGAATTGTATTATCTAACTCAAACACAGAAAAGTTCTGTACAACCATCGACATAATCTGTCTGCTCTGTTAGCGTCAGATCACACTTGTGTTGTGACTTGACAATGGCTAGTGATGTAATGTCGCAGAAACTTCACGGCGTGATAAATAAAAAAAACTTTGAAAAACATTTTATATTAAATATCATTTTGTGTGTAGATATTTTTACATGGATGCAAGAGCAATGACATGATAAGTGTTGATGCTCGCTATCGTTTAACCTTGGTAGAGGGCTAATATGATGTAACATCACCATCTTGTCTATCACCTAGATTTGTTAAGATATATTATCGCTTGAATGAAATTATTCGTTGAAGAATATCAACAGACATTACATCTTGTTGACCTCACTTTTTTAACATATGAAGTGTCGGATATTATAATAGTGTTACTCTATGACTGATATTAATTTCACTCTAATAAGCTATAATATTATTTATAAGAAATCCATTTCCGAAATCCTAGTGCACTAATTAATTAGGTAACATAGGCAGTGACCGTACTATAAGTTTACGTATATGGTACTATCGACGCTATGTAACCATCTCAGTATACAACAAGGCGGTTACAGCGTACCTGTAGGATTTCCCAGGCTGGACATAACCATTACAGTCTCCGCTACAATCCCCACCTTCACCAACTATGAACGTTACAGTTTGAGTAGTCGCTCTTCGTCGCCTTCTACCACTGTGACCTGTAAAGTAATGATAATGATTAATGTCAACACGTTCACCAATATATATATGAATAAAATACAAACATTTATCAATTACCAAACACTACCATTAAAAAACATCATTGTACTACATTGTGACAATTACGCCCATTAAACTGTATACCTTCAACGCTAAGTTCAGTCGCCAACTGATGATCTCGCCCTTCACTTTTAGTAAGCGATGGGCTCACATATAGTGTTATGAAGTATTAGCCCTCTAGGAGGGCGGAAATTAGAAAATACTATTTTCTCGGATTTCAGCATATAAACGTGGACTAAAGGATTGTACAAATATCCCTTTTGCTATTCAATATCTTAGAATACAATTATGTCGGACTGAGGAAATAACAGGTTACATTATTTACATAGTAAGGAAAGTTTGGTAAAGAAACTTTAATCAGTAAATGAGAAGTCCAGGTGTTACTAGAACTCACTAGACATAAATTGATGGATAGTAATCTATTGACTTTAACACTATTACATATACTTCACTGGTTGGATATGGACTCGTTTTCCTGACGAATTTGTGTGTATTTAATATTTTGAAACTTTATGACTTTGGTACAATATTGCGTGTGCTTTACTTGGTGGAAATAAATCCCTTGTTAGGCAGGGATCCGACTCTTGGAGTAACGTTTTATATTCACTAGTTAGATATGGTTTCCAGGACCTTTACAGACTTGTCTAATTTTATTTACATGGCACTCATGACCTTGACATTGTATACTTGCCTTTTATACACGGGTTCCATTACCTTGACATTGTATACTTGCCTTTTGTACACGGGTTCTATGACCTTGACATTGTATACATGACTTTTGTATACGGGTTCCATGTCCTTGACATTGTATACTTGCCTTTTGAACACGGGTTCCATAACCTTGACATTATATGCTTGCCTTTTGTACACGAGTTCTACATGTATGACCTTGACATCATATACTTGCCTTTTGTACACGGGTTCCATGACCTTGACATTGTATATTTGCCTTTTGTTTACGGGTTCCATAACCTTGACATTATATACTTGCCTTTTGTACACGGGTTCCATAACCTTGACATTATATGCTTGTCTTTTGTATACGGGTTCTACATGTATGACCTTAACATTGTATACTTGCCTTTTGAACACGGGTTCCATAACCTTGACATTGTATACTTGCCTTTTGTACACGGGTTACATAACCTTGACATTATATGCTTGCCTTTTCTACACGAGTTCTACATGTATGACCTTGACATTGTATACTTGCCTTTTGTTTACGGGTTCCATAACCTTGACATTGTATACTTGCCTTTTGTTTACGGGTTCCATAACTTTTCCATTATATACTTGCCTTTTGTACACGGGTTCCATAACCTTGACATTGTATACTTGCCTTTTGAATACGGGTTCCATAACCTTGACATTGTATACTTGCCTTTTATACACGGGTTCCATGACCTTGACATTGTATACTTGCCTTTTGTTTACGGGTTCCATAACCTTGACATTATATACTTGTCTTTTGTACACGGGTTCCATAACCTTGACATTATATACTTGCCTTTTGTATACGGGTTCTACATGTATGACCTTGACATTGTATACTTGCCTTTTGAACACGGGTTCCATAATCTTGACATTGTATACTTGCCTTTTATACACGGGTTCCATGACCTTGACATTGTATACATGCCTTTTGTTTACGGGTTCCATAACCTTGACATTATATACTTGCCTTTTGTATACGGGTTCTACATGTATGACCTTGACATTGTATATTTGCCTTTTGTACACGGGTTCCATAACCTTGACATTATATGCTTGCCTTTTGTATACGGGTTCTACATGTATGACCTTGACATTGTATATTTGCCTTTTGTACACGGGTTCCATAACCTTGACATTGTATACTTGCCTTTTGTACACGGGTTACATAACCTTGACATTATATGCTTGCCTTTTCTACACGAGTTCTACATGTATGACCTTGACATTATATACTTGCCTTTTATACACGGGTTCTACGACCTTGACATTATATACTTGCCTATTGTACACGGGTTCCATGACTTTGACGCTACGTAAGGGCTTATCTTGTCTGCATCTTCAATGGCTGACCAAGTTTGGTATTTGTTTAATCTATCCTTTTTGAAAGCAGCAAAAGATCCTTGAAAAGGTTCAGCAACTAAAAAAAAATAATTGAATAAAAAGTCAGATATCCTAACGCCTTAGTAAGACATGTATTGTTAAGAATGCGGGTTTTACTTAAATTGCTCGGATAGGTGTCATGTGGCAGTGCAATGTTAGAAAGTTATTGTCTTTGGGAAGGCGAAGGCATTAAGTAACAGTAAAATGTAAAATATATTTTACACATTTTTCTTCAATCTGGGATATTCAGCCAAAATAGCCAAAATATTGGAAATTAAATGTATATGAATATTTGAGTGATTCGTTGGTTGAAAAAACATACAGAATCATTTCTATGTAATCCTGAGTAGCCAACAACTAAGTAGAAACATAACGACCAAACAGTATATACGTATTATCCCAGGTATATGATATGTACCGTTGTTAGTGGCTGTTTGGGTAGACTCGGACAGTAGAAACAGAACGACCGCACAGTATATACGTATTATCCCAGGTATATGACATGTACCGTTGTTAGTGGATGTTTGGGCAGACTCGGACAGTAGAAACATAACGACCATACAGTATATACGTTTTACCCCAGGTATATGATATGTACCGTTGTTAGTGGCTGTTTGGGTAGACTCGGACAGTAGAAACATAACGACCATACAGTATATACGTTTTACCCCAGGTATATGATAGGTACCGTTGTTAGTGGATGTTTGGGTAGACTCGTACAGTAGAAACACATCGACCACACAGTGTATACGTATTATCCCAGGTATATGATATGCACCGTTGTTAGTGGATGTTTGGGTAGACTCGGAAAGTAGAAACATAACGACCACACAGTATATACGTTTTACGCCAGGTATATGATATGTACCGTTGTTAGTGGCTGTTTGGGTAGACTCGGACAGTAGAAACATAACGACAACACAGTATATACGTTTTACCCCAGGTATATGATATGTACCGTTGCTAGTGGATGTTTGGGTAGACTCGGACAGGAGAAACACATCGACCAAACAGTATATACGTATTATCCCAGGTATATGACATGTACCGTTGTTAGTGGATGTTTGGGCAGACTCGGACAGTAGAAACATAACGACAACACAGTATATACGTTTTACCCCAGGTATATGATATGTCCCGTTGTTAGTGGATGTTTGGGTAGACTCGGACAGTAGAAACATAAAGACCACACAGTATATACGTTTTACCCCAGGAATATGATATGTACCGGTGTTAGTGGATGTTTGGGTAGACTCGGCCAGTAGAAACATAACGACCACACAGTATATACGTTTTACCCCAGGCATATGATATGTACCGTTGTTAGTGGATGTTTGGGCAGACTCGGACAGTAGAAACATAACGACAACACAGTATATACGTTTTACCCCAGGTATATGATATGTACTGTTGTTAGTGGGTGTTTGGGTAGACTCGGACAGTAGAAACAGAACGACCGCACAGTATATACGTATTATCCCAGGTATATGATATGCACCGTTGTTAGTGGATGTTTGGGTAGACTCGTACAGTAGAAACACATCGACCACACAGTGTATACGTATTATCCCAGGTATATGATATGTACCGTTGTTAGAGGATGTTTGGGAAGACTCGGACAGTAGAAAAATAACGACCACACAGTATATACGTTTTACGCCAGGTATATGATATGTACCGTTGTTAGAGGATGTTTGGGAAGACTCGGACAGTAGAAAAATAACGACCACACAGTATATACGTTTTACCCCAGGAATATGATATGTACCGTTGTTAGTGGATGTTTGGGCAGACTCGGACAGTAGAAACATAACGACAACACAGTATATACGTTTTACCCCAGGTATATGATATGTACCGTTGCTAGTGGATGTTTGGGTAGACTCGGACAGTAGAAACATAAAGACCACACAGTATATACGTTTTACCCCAGGGATATGATATGTACCGTTGTTAGTGGATGTTTGGGTAGACTCGGACACAAACACGTAGTGGTTTTCGATGTTTCCGTTACCAAAGTTACAAACGAGAGTTGTATCAAAGTCGATACGGAACTGTTTCTCTGGATCGATGACAGCTGACGAGGACTCCACTTTTATCATCATTTCGCTATTTTTTGCAATCAGTGGAGCTTTAATAAAAAAAAACGTTTATCTTACAAATCAACATCGCTTTATTCAAGGGTAATGTAATTACTACTAGGAAGAAATCAGAAATCTTTTTTCAGCATTTCTGGTATACAGGTAGAGATATTATACCCCATCATCGCCATTTTCAGACTTAAACAAGAACACGCGAATATATAGAAGGATCAACTGTACCAAGCCATATTTCCCATTTTCATGACAGTAGCGTATAAAACTTGTTATTAAAGTATAGAATACATTACCTCCAGGTGGAATTGTCTGTTTGCATTGTAATGATAAACCTTTCCCGACACTCGTTGATGCGGAGACCTGTCAAATGTTGTAATAACGTGATAACTATTCATTGGTTCTAAGATTTGAAAAATGATTAACATTTACTTCAAAATAGTTATATAACATAACATCCAGATAGCATGTGACTTTAAATGTTTTCGTCTTGAATTAATAATTAATGGATTCATGTCAGGCTTTATTAGGTGTGTCAGCTATAACAACGCGTGTTATAGACAACATAATTTGTTAAAATATTCATTAAATAGTATTCCTTCTGTTACATAAGTAATAAGACGGCTCTTAGACGACTAATTTTATTACACGTCGTCTTTCCATTATACGATACGAGCATGTTCCATGTTTTCCCTGCATTTAGTGGTACACATTTACTTTTAAGATACTTACATTAAAGGTGTAGTTCTGTTGCGGCTTTACAGAAAAATCCCAGGAACAATGTTTGCTTGTGCTGCGGTTCTTAAATTTGGAATTGAGATAATGAGGAGTATAGTATTGTATTTTACTAAAACAATCGTTTTCTACGTGATTAGATGACAACGGGTTTATTCTATTACACCGTCACACAAGTGTGAGCTTTAATTTGAATAATAAATTGATACAAAAATAAACAAATACATGAATAAAAGTGATGTCGCCTAATTTGAAACCACAACATATGTAAAAAACAAAGAGTCTTTGTCATTTGGAAATGCTGCTTTTTCAAAACATAATCCGAATTGAATCGATGTCTGTTTGAAAATTGTTCAAGAGCAGAGGGGAAATCAAATCTTAAACAGTACATTAAGAGCCACAAGAAAGAATCGGAGGCGACACCTTACACTCTGAGTAGCATTGCGTGATTATGCACATAGAGCTAGGGAACTGACAGTAGAAATGTATTTATTCAGTCAGGGAATATACGATTTTGAAGTAACATGTTTTACATACATATAGAAGTAATGTGTAGATATGAAAATAAAGTAGCGAAATTTACCGCAACTTGGTAGTAATTTGTTTGATATACACACACATATAGCTGGGCAACTAACGACCCCGTTATATCTTCTGTGAGGAAATCAATATTTAAATCCTCTCGTTTTAAAATAATAGTTGTAGAAATGATATCGAATTTTGTTACGTCAGTGGTATCTTGGGCAGCAGATCCCGATACAACCCAGGAGGACATATCTCAGGGTAATAACATAAGACTCTTTCATGCCCAGGAGTGTAGGATAGGGACATCCACCCGAGAGTGGAATTTCCCTATCCTACACCCTTGGGCATGAAAGAGTAATTCTTTGTTTCTGAGCTTATTCTGGTGGTTGGAATGAGAGATGTATATACACCTGAAATGTCATATTTTGTTAATCCGGACTATTTCGTTGATGAATGTTCTATCCAAAATAAAGATTTCGGATAAAATATCATGTATTGTACAGATGTGTACAGACAACTAAGATTAAATACCTTGACTCGGGGTTAATGTATAAATATATATAATCATTTTGGATTAATGTACACACATTGTAGATATATAAAAGTTAATGTATGAATATAAATGATAATATCAGGATAAATGTACAGTTATATCAGTTTTAATGTATAAATATAAAACCCTATCAGGATCAATATTAAAATAAAAATCATCATATCAGAGGAAAGGTATACATATAAACTACCTATCAGGATGAATGCTAAGATAAATAATCATGATTGCTGGCTTTTCCGTTTCATTTGACTCGTTCATGAAAATGTTAATTTGATTTACCAGAGGCAAAGAATATCCCCAGTCCAATGTGTAATTGGTAATGACACCGTTTAGGTCCATCTCTTTAGGTAGGCCACATGTAATTTGTACTGTTCGTGCCTTGGTGACGTCTCCCTGAACTGTCACCTTGACATCTGTCACTGGTCCAGGAGCTGTGGGTATAGACGTTAACGTATCCTACGTAAGTTTACCACACAGGTTTGATATTAATTTATCTAGCTTGTCTTTTTATTCATTTAAATACATTAATTGATGTAAGATCAATATCATACGTTGACAGAAGCGTTCTGTACGAATCTTTGTTTCCTATTATCTTAACACATACACAACTGATACTACAGAAACCTTCTACACTCATCGGTAGTTCTCTCTATTAGAAACCACGTTAGCTGAGACAACAATCAGTAAACCATCTCATTAGTTGCTCGATAAACATTATGTATAAGTGTATGAGTAACATATATATACTCTTTGAATTCAAATAAGATCAAAATTCTTAACGTTATTAATATTCTTTACAGTAATAATAATTACATAATATAAACATAGCAAGATACACGTTTAGTAAGATTTTCAGCCTGTTAGTTATCTTTAACATACCAGCCTCTGCAGTTCTGATGATCGTTGTGTTGGATTTGATTGATCCGTTCACTGTTGTCGCCGTGACGACAATGATGTAATTCCAGAACTCATCAAGTTTTTGTATCCTACATGTGGTTTTGTCAAAACCTATAAAGAATATGTGTAATGAATAACCAGGATACATTCAAATACCAAAGTTTTACTTTCTACACAAACAATGTACATATTAAACGTGTCGCAACGTTTCAAGACTGACTGGTCCCTTTGTCAAGCTATGAGTGAGAGATTTTTATGTTTTACCTGTGCAACGATGTGACGAAATTTCATATTTTTATGTCAGATACAGAGCGAATACACACTGTATCAAATAGGACACATGGAATAAAGCAAGTATTCCAACCATAACTTTGTTAATTGTTTAACTGTCACACATCGTTTAGGAACGATAGTCTTTCTGCATAGCATATTAAGTTTTATGATATGAAAATAAGAAGATGACTGTGTAAGAAAGAGATCATCATTTATGTTTCCAGGATGATGCTTTTAGAAATTATCGTTTGTACTACATAATGACATATCTTAGAAATTATCGTTTGTACTACAGAATGGCAAATTATAGATATTATCGTTTGTACTACAGAATGGCAAATTATAGAAATTATCGTTTGTACTAGAGAATGACATATCTTAGAAATCATCGGTTTTGCTACATAATGACATATCTTAGAAAGTATCGTTTGTACTACAGAAGGGCAAATTATAGAAATTATCGTTTGTACTCCAGAATGACATATCTTAGAAATTATCGTTCGCACTACATAATGACATATCTTAGAAAGTATCGTTTGTACTACAGAAGGGCAAATTATAGAAATTATCGTTTGTACTAGAGAATGACATATCTTAGAAATCATCGTTTGTACTACAGAATGGCAAATTATAGAAATTATCGTTTGTCCTACAGAATGACATATCTTAGAAATGATCGTTTGTACTGCATAATGACATATCTTAGAAATCATCGTTTGTACTACAGAATGGCAAATTATAGAAATTATCGTTTGTACTAGAGAATGACATATCTTAGAAATCATCGTTTGTACTACATAATGTCATATCTTAGAAATCATCGTTTGTACTACCTAATGACATATCTTAGAAATCATCGTTTGTACTACATAATGTCATATCTTAGAAATCATCGTTTGTACTACCTAATGACATATCTTAGAAATCATCGTTTGTACTACAGAATGGCAAATTATAGAAATTATCGTTTGTCCTACAGAATGACATATCTTAGAAATCATCGTTTGTACTACAGAATGGCAAATTATAGACATTATCGTTTGTACTACAGAATGGCAAATTATAGAAAATATAGTTTGTACTACAGAATGACATATCTTAGACATCATCGTTTTTACTACATAATGACATATCTTAGAAATTATCGTTCGTACTACATAATGCCATATCTTAGAAATTATCGTTTGGACTACATAATGACATATCTTAGAAAGTATCGTTTGTACTACAGAATGGCAAATTATAGAAAATATAGTTTGTACTACAGAATGACATATGTTAGAAATCATCGTTTGTTCTACATAATGACATATCTTAGAAATTATCGTTCGTACCACATAATGACATATCTTAGAAATAATCGTTTGTACTACATAATGACATATCTTACAAATTATCGTTTGTACTACATAATGAAATATCTTAGAAATTATCGTTCGTACCACATAATGACATATCTTAGAAATTATCGTTCGTACTACATAATGCCATATCTTAGAAATTATCGTTTGTACTACAGAAGGGCAAATTATAGAAATTATCGTTTGTACTACAGAATGACATATCTTAGAAATTATCGTTTGTACTACAGAAGGGCAAATTATAGAAATTATCGTTTGTACTACATAATGACATATCTTAGAAATCATCGTTTGTACTACAGAATGGCAAATTAGAGAAATTATCGTTTGTTAACCATATTTATTACAGAATGAAATATTTTAGAAATCAATCTTTTTACTGCAGGATGTCTTATTTTAGAATATTACCATTTGTATAACAGGATGACGTATTTGCCTGCGAGCGGTTATCTAGAGCAGTAGCGACGTAGTAGGTTGGACCTGTTTTCAAATCCGGTTCTCCCCATGTCACAGACATACTGGTAGCTTTCTTTTCATTTACCGTAACTTCACCTGGTTGATGCGGCACTTTAAAGAAATGGTACATAATTGACGGTCTGCATATCATAATACATTTAATATGGATAGCTGTATGACAAACGACATAAAATATGATAACATTTTCTTATGTTAATCATATGTTGAAATGATGTTCCCTATCTGTTTTCAAATTAAGTTTCTTTTATGATTTACAAGCTGTTCAGTGAGTCTCCAAACATTTACTGGATTTGACGAAAGACATTATAAAGGTTGCAGCATGTTATACATGAAATATTCACACTTCTGGGTTTGTTTGGTGTCTCTCTGGTTTATGGTCTTGTCTTTGCCGTATTGACTCTGATTTAGGACTTCATTTATGAACTCTAGCCCAATATTTTGTTTTTATTTACGTTGAAAGAGAGTTATTTCGTTGAGTTAGTTTAACTCACAGTTGAAATATATACATAATAAAACAAACATATCAAACAAATTAAATGCTTTCTTTCTGTCAGTAATGACGATTTTCATAAAGTCCGCGTCTAGCATTCAGAAATTTTGTTTAACGAGAAGATAATTTAGCTTGTATCGCACTGGATATGTAGCTATAGCGTAGGGGTTTTAACATGTGAAGTCGATATTTTAACCTTTATTACATCAATTCATAGCATTCGCCAAGATGTCCTGGGAAAACAGGAATACATCTTATACAAAACACATTGAACAAATGTTCCATAGATGACTAATGTGAATAATCAGACGGCGTCAACAATGATAAAGCATAAGTTTAGTCTACTGTATAAACAGTCGTAAAGATAAAAGTGTTTTATATGTATTTGTTCTATTTAAAATATTATTATAACCATTAGTTGATAACGTAAATGTGTAATGTGAATGTTATACATAATTAGTTTAAAACTCAATTATATTGTAGGTGTATAATGGGGTTTAATAATGTATGTACACAATGTACGTTTATTTGATAAAAAGTAAATATCTTGTCTGCTTATAATGTTAAAACAATAACTTTTGTTTATAATGTAATTTTAATTTAATTGTATAATTCAATTGTAAGGTAGGTTTATAATGTAATATATGAGTTAATTGTATAATTCAATTGTAAGGTACATTTAGGTTCATAACGTAATTACAATGTCAGTTTATAAGGCAGGTATGATGTAAGTGTTTTCAGGTAAGAATAGTAAAATTAGTTGAACATTTAGTCTTTCATCTCAAAACCAAGAACTCGAACCAAGATATATTTCATGTGGTGATGCGTGGTTATATTTTAGTGTGTGTTATGCTAGATAAAACCAATTACGTGGTAAATTGTAAAAAAAGAAATCAGTTTATCCGTAAACCCGTATCATACATTCACTATTGTGTAGGCTAATGGAAAATAATAAATGTATATAGACATTACTGTTCAAATTTTTTAGTTCTATGATATTTTATGGAATGATGTTCACCAGTTTAAAATAGAGACGAATCATTTTATTAAGATCAAACAATCATACTATTCCATTAAATATGGAACCATAATTACATGATTAAACAATCTCTTTGATGCTTTAATTACAAGGGTTTCACGCTATTAAACTATTTCTTAACAAGCCGTAACAAAGTTTTAAATGATCACATTATGGTTTGAATTTTGATATATATTTACCATCCGTTAATGTCGTGAAGTTCTGTTCGGTGGAGTAATGTCCTTTACCCGCCCCAGTCTTAGCAGCAATCTGGTATGTATAGGTCCTGTATGGCAGTAGACCAGACACTAAGTATGACGAGGAATTATCAGTGGTGTTGATATGTGAGGACATGTTCCATAGTATCACGTAGTTACTGATGACGCCGTTAGGGGGACAAGGGGCAGACCACTTCAAAGTTACACTGTTAGCTGTGATCCCTGTATGCATGATACTGCCAATAGAACTCGGCTCTAGAATGAAATATAATACAGTTATCGTAGTGTTGTTATAAGTGTTAATGTTTCGTAAAATGTAGCAAATAAAAGTGTAGTTCATATGAAATTTATAAAGTGATGAAATATGAATAGACTAGAAATAATAAAACCCATATATTCCGTTAAATTTCAAAAACAAACCGTATATAGAAAGTTCAAAATCAATATCACACACAGACATCATAATAAAGTGATAGTGTTAAGTTACATTTCAAATCCATTCGTAGTTATACAACGCTAGCAACAAATAGGATGTAAATCATTCGTAGTTCTACAACCTAGCAATAAATAAGATGTAAAACCATTCGTAGTTATACAAAGCTAGCAATAAATAGGATGTAAAACCATTCGTAGTTATACAACGCTAGCAATAAATAGGATGTAAAACCATTCGTAGTTATACAAGGCTAGCAATAAACAGGATGTAAAACCATTCGTAGTTATACAACGCTAGCAATAAATAGGATGTAAAAACATTCGTAGTTTTACAACGCTAGCAATAAATAGGATGTAAAACCATTCGTATTTATACAACGCTAGCAATAAATAGGATGTAAAACCATTCGTAGTTCTACAAAGCTAGCAGTAAATAGGGTGTAAAACCATTTGTAGTTCTACAACGCTAGCAATAAATAGGGTGTAAGACCATTCGTAGTTCTACAGCGTTAGCAATAAATAGGATGTAAAACCATTCGTAGTTATACAACGCTAGCAATAAATAGGATGTAAAACCATTTGTAGTTCTACAAAGCTAGCAATAAATAGGGTGTAAAACCATTCGTAGTTCTACAACGCTAGCAATAAATAGGGTGTAAGACCATTCGTAGTTCTACAACGCTAGCAATAAAAAGGATGTAAAACCATTCGTAGGCTACAAACAAAGTCACGACTATTTGGTAAATATAGATAAAACTATATCAATTGCTAAATCACTAAATAGTACATTCACAGTAAGTTATATATAGCTAGTCATGAGATGGTACATTGGCAGTAGTAACATTTACAGAAAGTAACATCCAAAGTCCGTACCACATGGTTAATGGTACTTTGACGTAGTAACATTTACAGAAAGTAACATCCACAGTCCTTATCACCTTGTTAATGATACATTGACAGTAACATTTACAGAAAGTAACATCCACAGTCCTTATCACCTTGTTAATGATACATTGACAGTAACATTTACAGAAAGTAACATCCACAGTCCTTACCACGTTGTTAATGATACATTGACAGTAACATTTACAGAAAGTAACATCCAAAGTCCCTACCACATGGTTAATGGTACATTGACAGTAGTAACATTTACAAAAAGTAACATCCAAAGTCGTTACCACATTGTTAATGGTACATTGACAGTAGTAACATTTACAGAAAGTAACATCCAAAGTCTTTACCACATTGTTAATGGTACATTGGCAGTAACATTTACAGAAAGTAACATCCAAAGTCTTTAACACATTGTTAATGGTACATTGACAGTAACATTTACAGAAAGTAACATGCAAAGTCGTTACCACATGGTTAATGATACATTGACAGTAACATTACAGAAAGTAACATCCAAAGTCCTTACCACATTGTTAATGGTACACTGACAGTAGTAACATTTACAGAAAGTAACATCCAAAGTCTTTACCACATTGTTAATGGTACATTGGCAGTAACATTTACAGAAAGTAACATCCAAAGTCTTTACCACATGGTTAATGATACATTGACAGTAACATTACAGAAAGGAACATCCAAAGTCCTTACCACATGGTTAATGATACATTGACAGTAACATTTACAGAAAGAAACATCCAAAGTCCGTACCACATGGTTAATGGTACTTTGACAGTAACATTTACAGAAAGTAACATCCAAAGGCCTTACCACATGGTTAATGATACATTGACAGTAGAAATATTTACAGAAAGTCTCATCCAAAGTCCTTACCCCATTGTTTATGGTAAATTGACAGTAACATTTACAGAAAGTAACATCCACAGTCCTTATCGCCTTGTTAATGATACATTGACAGTAACATTTACAGAAAGAAACATCCAAAGTCCGTACCACATGGTTAATGGTACTTTGACAGTAACATTTACAGAAAGTAACATCCAAAGTGCCTACCACATGGTTAATGGTACATTGACAGTAACATTTACAGAAAGTAACATGCAAAGTCGTTACCACATGGTTAATGATACATTGACAGTAACATTTACAGAAAGAAACATCCAAAGTCCGTACCACATGGTTAATGGTACTTTGACAGTAACATTTACAGAAAGTAACATCCAAAGTCCCTACCACATGGTTAATGGTACATTGACAGTAGTAATATTTACAGAAAGTAATATCCAAAGTCCTTACCACATTGTTAATGGTACACTGACAGTAGTAACATTTACAGAAAGTAACATCCAAAGTCCTTACCACATTGTTAATGGTACACTGACAGTAGTAACATTTACAGAAAGTAACATCCAAAGTCCTTACCACATGGTTAATGATACATTGACAGTAACATTTACAGAAAGAAACATCCAAAGTCCGTACCACATGGTTAATGGTACTTTGACAGTAACATTTACAGAAAGTAACATCCAAAGTCTTTACCACATTGTTAATGGTACATTGGCAGTAACATTTACAGAAAGTAACATCCAAAGTCTTTACCACATTGTTAATGGGACATTGACAGTAACATTTACAGAAAGTAACATCCAAAGTCTTTACCACATTGTTAATGGTACATTGGCAGTAACATTTACAGAAAGTAACATCCAAAGTCCCTACCACATGGTTAATGGTACATTGACAGTAGTAATATTTACAGAAAGTAATATCCAAAGTCCTTACCACATTGTTAATGGTACACTGACAGTAGTAACATTTACAGAAAGTAACATCCAAAGTCCTTACCACATGGTTAATGGTACATTGACAGTAGTAATATTTACAGAAAGTAATATCCAAAGTCCTTACCACATTGTTAATGGTACACTGACAGTAGTAACATTTACAGAAAGTAACATCCAAAGTCCTTAACACATGGTTAATGGTACATTGTCAGTAGTAACATTTACAGAAAGTAACATCCAAAGTCTTTACCACATGGTTAATGATACATTGACAGTAACATTACAGAAAGTAACATCCAAAGTCCTTACCACATGGTTAATGATACATTGACAGTAACATTACAGAAAGGAACATCCAAAGTCCTTACCACATGGTTAATGATACATTGACAGTAGAAATATTTACAGAAAGTCTCATCCAAAGTCCTTACCCCATTGTTTATGGTAAATTGACAGTAACATTTACAGAAAGTAACATCCAAAGGCCTTACCACATGGTTAATGATACATTGACAGTAACATTTACAGAAAGTAACATGCAAAGTCGTTACCACATTGTTAATGGTACATTGACAGTAGTAACATTTACAAAAAGTAACATCCAAAGTCGTTACCACATTGTTAATGGTACATTGACAGTAATATTTACAGAAAGTAACATCCAAAGTCCGTACCACATGGTTAATAGTACATTGACTGTAGTAACATTTACAGAAAGTAACATCCAAAGTCCCTACCACATGATTAATGGTACATTGATAGTAGTAATATTTACAGAAAGTAACATCTAAAGTCCTTACCACATTGTTAATGGTACATTGACAGTAGTAACATTTACAGGAAGTAAACTCCAAAGTCCATACCACATTGTTAATGGTACATTGATAGTAGTAACATTTACAGAAAGTAACATCCAAAGTCCGTACCACATATGGTTAATGGCAAATTGACAGTAACATTTACAAAAAGTAACATCCAAAGTCCGTACTACATGGTTAATGGTACATTGAAGGTTACATTACAGAAAGTAACATCCAAAGTCCGTACCACATATGGTTAATGGCAAATTGACAGTAACATTTACAAAAAGTAACATCCAAAGTCCGTACCGAATATGGTTAATGGTAGATTGACAGTAACATTTACAGAAAGTAACATCCAAAGTCCGTACCACATGGTTAATGGTACATTGAAGGTTACATTACAGAAAGTAACATCCAAAGTCCTTACCACATGGTTAATGGTACATTGACAGTAGTAACATTTACAGAAAGTAACATCCAAAGTCCTTACCACATGGTTAATGATACTTTGACAGTAACATTTACAGAAAGTAATATCCAAAGTCCTTACCACATTGTTAATGGAACATTGACAGTAACATTTACAGAAAGTTACATCCAAAGTCCGTACCACATATGGTTAATGGTAAATTGACAGTAGTAATATTTACAGAAAGTATCATCCAAAGTCCTTACCACATGGTTAATGGTACATTGACAGTAGTAATATTTACAGAAAGTAACATCCAAAGTCCGTACCGAATATGGTTAATGGTAAATTGACAGTAGCATTTACAGAAAGTAACATCCAAAGTCCCTACCACATGGTTAATGGTACATTGACAGTAACATTTACAGAAAGTAACATCCAAAGTCTTTACCACATTGTTAAAGGGACATTGACAGTAACATTTACAGAAAGTAACATCCTAAGACCGTACCACATGGTTAATGGTACATTGACAGTAACATCTACAGAAAGTAACATCCAAAGTCCTTACCACATGGTTAATGATACATTGACAGTAACATTTACAGAAAGTAACATCCTAAGACCGTACCACATGGTTAATGGTACATTGACAGTAACATTACAGAAAGTGACATCCAAAGTCCGTACCACATTGTTAATGGTACATTGACAGGAACATTTACAGAAAGTAACATCCAAAGTCCGTACCACATATGGTTAATGGTAAATTGACAGTAACATTTACAGAAAGTAACATCCAAAGTCTTTACCACATTGTTAATGGGACATTGACAGTAACATTTACAGAAAGTAACATCCTAAGACCGTACCACATGGTTAATGGTACATTGACAGTAACATTACAGAAAGTGACATCCAAAGTCCGTACCACATTGTTAATGGTACATTGACAGGAACATTTACAGAAAGTAACATCCAAAGTCCGTACCACATTGTTAATGGCACATTGACAGTAACATTACAGAAAGTAACATCCAAAGTCCTTACCACATTGTTAATGGTACATTGATAGTAGTAACATTTACAGAAATTAACATCCAAAGTCCTTACCACATGGTTAATGATACATTGACAGTAACATTACAGAAAGTAACATCCAAAGTCCGTCCCACATGGTTAATGGTATATTGACAGTAACATTACAGAAAGTAACATCCAAAGTCCGTACCAGATTGTTAATGGTACATTGACAGTAACATTTACAGAAAGTAACATCCTAAGTCCGTACCACATGGTTAATGGTACATTGACAGTAGTAACATTTACAGAAAGTAACATCCTAAGTCCCTACCACATGGTTAATGTCACTTTATGGTACATTCACAATTACAATATTTCTAAGCATCACTAGAAGTATTCTGTTGTAATGATACCGAAACAATACTCAGAATTTTTCAAATGCTAATTTACTCTTCACAATTTACTTGTTCAGGCACTTTTAACAAATTTTACAATAAATCATATAATATAACACGATTATTTAGATGAAAATTATGATTTTTAAAATGAACAAACCATAATTCACTTAACAGTAAGTACTGATTTGATGAGTAATAAGACAAACAAACACTTTAATTATTGAAATGGTGACACATTTCACAACATCAACTTCATCCTACTTACTGTCCTGTTCTGTTCTTTGTGGTAAGGGATCGCTCCAGTTACCGGATCCTATACTAGTGTATGCCCGTACACTTATACTGTAGTCCCAGTAGGGGTAGAGATTCTCTATAGAGCAGACAGTCCGACCACTTGAGGGGGTACAGGTGGTGTTGTGTGTTATGTCTTTACCTGTACTCGACCCATTGTTACACCGTTCCGTGTAAACATACTGTACTTCATACGTCGTTATTGGGCCAGTACTTGGTTCCGGTTCCTTGAAGGATATTGTAATTGTTGACGAGGTAATCCTGGTTTGTGTTAAGTTAGTAATTTTGTAAGGTTCTGCAAATAAAAAAAACACCTATATGAACTCTGTTACAAATTTACTAATAACAAATGCTTACACAATAACACACCTGTGTGTATTACTGTGTAGTATTTTCACCGATAAGAACGTCTCGTTGAAAAACAACATTAATATGCTCAGCTATCAAAACACAGCATCGAACACAAAGTGCATGGAAAACTGTAGCAGGTGACTTGTCAAAGGTAAGTTAATTATGTACTTGTTTGTATTAACATTTTATCAGTGTATCATAATCAATGTGATATGTATTTCAGAAAACAATGTACTTTTATTGAACTAATTAAGTTTTTCATTTTTTGAGATATTCAGCTTCATGTTCTTCTAAATAGTATTTATACTAAAATAGAATTCAAAATTCAAATGGTTTTAAACATCTGCATTAAATGGTAAGATCTTACCGTTGAAGCGGAATTTATGAACAGAACAGAAAAGATTTGATATTAGTTGTAACCCAACATTAGTTCCGGATGGTGAATGTTGATTCTGTATTAGAGGCATTTCCATATAAACTTGAATTATGTAATGCTTAATAACGCAGAGGTCTTTCGTAATGACTGACAGGTACGATCATATAACCAACTGGACAAAATCAAGATGGCAGGGTTGTTATTAGCTTATCATCCATATATATCGTTTAGTTAAAGCTTTAGATGCACTTCCTATCTATAGGTATAGGACATGCCTGCACTGATTTATGAAGCGAGGTATTTCTGATGATAGATGTGTCAGATCCTTCATTACCAAAATAAAGATGCAGAAATTGTCGAACTTTTGGCCTACGTGGCGTTTTATCTGTCCTTGAAGGTTTGTATCATGTTTTATATCACCTGGCATTACGTCATGGGGAACTACTGTTTCTCTCAGCCCTTTTACTGTACGTACTTGATTCACTGGTGTTGGATACCTGGGACGATTCAAGCCCTTTACCGGCCTCTGTGTAGGCGTACACGCTGAACGTGTAACGTGTATAGGCCAGCAGGTCATTGATAGTCACATTGAAATCCGACTGAACTTTGATGAAAGTGTCTTTCCTGGTTGCATTACACGTTTCATTGTCCTTTAAGTAAGTAGAAGACACTTGATATAGATTGCAAAGTTAACCAATCATACGTGTTTAACTTTGTTAACAGTAAATAGGTACTATTAAATATCAACTCCACTAATTTAGTAACAGAATATAAGTGTTTAATCCTAACATTGACAGTATAGTGACAACATACAAAGTAACGAATAATCAACAAACATATAGTGTATACCTGTGAAGCTGTACTGTCCACCGTCAACAGAAGTTGTGCACACGTTTCCACGGGATCTGTGACGTATACACTGTACTGTATGATGTCACCATTTGGCTCTGTAGGTTTTTTCCACGTCAAACTAATAGCTGTGGCGGACAATGTTTGGGCGGCTAGATCTCCGACCTGACCGGGAGCTATAAACAAGGAATATCAGAGGTAAAGACGACAGTATCAGAACGGAAATAGTTGATAAACCGACATTATCACACAATTCTTTATATAAATCGAATATTGTAATTTTTAGTTATCCCAGGCACTTCTCATTTACGGGAAGAAAAAGATAAAACCGTTAGAAAGTGATATGTTTTATGAAATATATGGATACACATAAACAGTTAATGACGCTAACCTTCAGAACGAGTCGGAGGGTAGGACATTCTAAAGAAAAAACGATTCTTTTAGTTTAGGTTTTGCACAGCCAGCACCACAGAAGGCATTTGATGGATGTCAATATCACATTTCAAATGCACATGTGAGGAGAGGATGGATGTGAAAGATTTAGAGGGAAGAGTCACGCCGTGTTATCAATTGTTTTCTAGACAGAAGCTGTGCTAACCGTCTAGTTTGATAAAGTTTGTTTTTGATGTACATTCTTACAATGTATATACCGACAGCATCCGTCAACAAAGATGTGCGCCATTCTGAATGGACAATTGCGCGTGATTCTGTCGTTTTCTGCTATTTTCTGGTATTATCTACTTTCAAGAACAACACTAATCTACTTGGATGCAACCACTCAAAAAGATAGAAGATATACATGATCAGCAAAATGAAAGCAAAAATAAAGGGGAGGCTCAAATTCTAGTGAAGCAGTTTTTAAAGCATAATCTCTCTGTCGAACCAGGAACATAGAAGATATCTGCAGGGTGCTTGAACAATGTGCAGATCACGTGGTATTGATCCTGTCTATCTGTATCACTCCCATGTATATATAGACATACAGTCAAAAAACGTAAACGATGAAAATATATCTTCAAAACGGGGACTAACATATCCTAAATTGTACTGGCACATTTGATTATTTCAAACTATTGCAAACTGCTGTTTTAGTCTGGAGAATATAATCATTTGAAACAATCTCAAATTTATTTGAAAGACAATTAACCATCAACATAAACGGCTCTCATTCAACTTGTTTTGAAAATAAGTGGACAAACTCACAATCGGATATAATAAATGAAGAACATGTGTAACAGTGAAGTGATACTCTCAGTCGACACATCAGTACCGGATATCACAAGGCCAACGACCAATACCAATGTCTGAAGTTCTTCCTTTTCCTCAATTAAACTAGCGAAAAACAGCTTTAGACAATATGTCTAAGGCGACATATGAACATAATGCATATAATGGAAATTTTACATATATTGTGAGATCAACAAAAACGCCGAAACACAACTGAACAAAACCTACAAGAGTCATCGAATATCAAGAGTTTATTGTGAGGATGAAGAAGAAACTGGTCTTACTGAACAGGTAACACTAACTCCGAATCACTTATGAGATGTTTTGGAAAAAAATACCAGCTTCATTCTTGGTAATTGTATTTAATTCAAACCATGAAGTCCATAATAAGATGTTTTAAAGTGTTACAGTTAAAATAATAATAAACAATATACTATAGCTTACAAACAAAAGGACAAAACTGAAACTAAGGAAACATGAAGCATACTATATCTATTATGTAAACAATGGCAATAGAAACAGCAGAGCTATAACAGTGACAATAAAGTTACTCATGACATCACTTAAATGTTTCCTTTATAAACCAACAACCGACTGGAACCAACAGTTCAAAGAAGTTTAACAAAACAATATGACATTTATTTCGATACTTTAAAAACAAACTCCAAACATACAAGCCCGCATCAATACATGTCCATATAACATGGAATGTGATTTACTTCCGATATTATAAGTATATTACATCATTAATCCCACTTACGTCCTTCATCTATACCGAGTCCTGAGAATACTGCGGCAGAACTGTTGTGTCCACCAAAGACAGCGATTACTGTGAGGTTACAGGTGATACCGGGACTGAGACCGCCTATCGTCACGTTTTGTCCGCTTACTGTGACACCGGGACTGATTATGTCCCCACTACTGGAACAATCCTCGCTGGCGATGTAGTTATCAACTTTCCCGGGAGTAGGGGAGTTAAGTGTGACTGTTATCGAGTCGTTTGTGGTAGAGCATCCGTATTTTTTTGGGACATCAGGCACTGTGATGCAAACAAAAAATATCAGTGACGTCATACTATCAAAATAAAAAATATTTGTTTGGAACATTTGTGGAATTTATAGCATAGTAAAATATTTGATATTGATAAATAACATGTTTTGATAATTTATAAAAACGTTTTGGAATTTTCCTTCAGAAAAATAACCCCGTTCTAATATAAGTCTGAAATAAACGCATGTACGAATGGATTCGTTTAAGGTGGCTCCACACATCGTCATCAGCGTCCATTTTCGTGACGTACTTCCGACATGTAATTATAAACATACCGTGAGTTAGCGGACTGTGGAATGATGTCCAAAGTGTACATGACTGAGGGTAATTTGGTTCCATTAAAGAACAATAAATTGATAATTTTGATATCATATTTTTGATTTATTTCCATCATTTTTGTTATATGTAAACAGGGACAACTGTCATTGTGTAAATGTCACCCCTCTGCAAAAAGTTCCGATTTTTTTCAAGGAAGATAACTCTTACCCGGATCGAAGTGATTGTAAAATGTAAAATAAATTAATTATAAAGCCATTGTGTATATTTTGTTCAATTTCCCATTCTATATGTATAGATCTTTGTGTCCTGTTGGCTTTTAGCTTGTAGATAATCACTTTCATCCGTTCAAATTCAATAAAAAACACTTTGTGTAACATGTGTTACATATTTTGCGATAAATAAAATATTTGTATGGTTAATTAGAAATGCTTCTTTTCATTTTATTATTTTTGTTATTGTTCCGAACAATGTCACACCCAAAAAAAACCGGGAAAATATTAAAATTGACGGAAATTCAATTTTTTGGTATTTTTTCCAAAAAAGTCCCCTAACTATCGGAGTGTTTAGATTTTCATAAAATCAACTCTACATAGTTGCATAACCATTATATGAAAGTTTCAACGAATTTCGCTGGTTAATTACGAAAGTGTGGAGCCACCTTAAACACTATACAAACATCAATTGAATCCACGGTCATCAGTATCTACTATACATACTTAGTAATAAATGGTCGCCAGCGTCTCATATAGAAGTTTGCAATTATTGTTTTATACCAAATCAACCTGATGAATATGACATACATGCTTACTAGTCAACTGTCACAAGTATCTGATCAAACTTATCACTTATCCATTGTAACCGGTTTCTGATTTATCGATACATATTCATGCGTGATCGGTTATACATATGTATATCAAAATAAAACATATCAGTCTTTTTATATAAATATCTGACAAAACAACTGTATTGTATAAAGCTGTTGAAGATCATAGTATAGTTACACATGTAAACATATTTTAATGTTTCGAATCTTAATAACGAACTTCTCCATTTTTCCTTAATCATAGTCGATAAGTACAGCGAAACTTTTCCGTTTCAGGGACATAAGGTATATTTGTCAGGAGCCCTTTACTAAGAACTCTCTTTAGAGGCTAAGGTCAATTTTAACATGATCCTAACGATTAAATGTGTAACTGAAAAAAGATTAAAGGTTGTGGTATGCGAGAACGGTTGTGTCGCTCAACAGGCAAGGCATGTACATTGGTAACGGTTCAACCATTACGAGTAGCGGGGCCTTGCCTTTGTACCACTTAAACTAAGAGGTGGTGTAACCAAAAGCTCTGTTACTTTGTAACGACTATCTTAAGTGGTTTTGTAGCATACTAAGGTGTAACTGGTACAGTTCGTCTATTACAAATGTCATTTCGTAACTCAGGGCTGTCCTACTCTTTTGACTCCATCTTCAGAATATCCCAAGACATTTGTTTTATTGGGGTTTTTTTCGGTTTTATTTTCCACGTGTTTTTTCCCCTCTCCAGCCAATATATATATAGAGGATCTGTCAGAAGTTTCCCGTCATATTAGATTCATGATACAAGTTTTGGAATTTTCATGTTTGCGAGCCTCTGGCGAGCAAATATGAAAAATCAAAAACGAGTAACATGAAGGGAAACGAATGACAGAATCTTCTTATCATATAATACAAAGTAAACTAAAACGAATTTTTTGCTCTTGGCCTCCTCTGAAACGATGAAAATAGCGTCCGCTTCACAATGGCATGACGTCACATTGATTGTTCCTTTTCGATTGTGACGTTATTTCCGGAGTGATATTACACACGTTACAAAAACGTAATTTATATGATTGATTTATGACACTGCATAACACGGTAATCATATGATAAATATATATACACACTATCCTGATACGTATATACATTAATATATATTTAAGTTGATAGGAACTGCCAGGGATGGGGAGCCCTGGAATCAGTCCTCTGAACAATATGGTGTCCTCACAATAGCTCTCATTCATTTTCTCTCGTCAGTAACTGATAAATATCTAAATTCAAGTATTTCATTTTGATGGTACACTGTAACATGTTTTATAATATAATATAACATTTAGAAATTTGATGGGAAATAAAATATTTGTAAATAGAGTATTGGACATCTACAGAACAAAATCATACTACAATAAGAGCCATACTAACAGATTCCAGGCACACACTTCCAGCATTCGTTTATGATCTTTATGCCCCAAATCCTTACTCAGAGTGTGGTTCATGTACGGGCCCCAATTCATATTACACATATAATTTCCCTATAAAGGTTGTTAAACCTTGATATAAACTAATTAGTCTTGATACACGTGTATCTTACATGTTGAGATTGGTAGATAGATATATTTTTTTCTCGTTAAAGAGATAACAAATATTGCATTGATTAATACACAATTTTAGAACATATTTACATGTAGATATTTAAAGACAAAACAGCACAGTTCATTTGCTACAACACTGCAGGTTTCACATTTAATTAAATTGTTAGCAACTATGAGTATTTGCCCCTTATATAAACACTAAGAAGCACTCTCACATGGATAAATAGAAACACTAGATTTTGATATTTCATTTACATAAGATATTAATACGCTAATTTTATATAAATGTACTATATTTATCCAGTCTTCAATAATGTCAAGAGTAGAACACCAGTACACGTACGTGTATATTGAACACTTAATAGAGACTAATCCTGTACTTTTAGTTCCATATCAACCATAATTTGTTTTAGATCAGGAAGTATGCCGATTATAAAATGCCCCCAGTGATCATCATTCAGCCCTAGTAAGTTTCTACTACCTAATTTAACACAGAAATGTTGATCGGCCTCCATATACGAGAACCGATTTTTATTTTATTTTAGCACTCAGAAAAAAAATTGGCTCATGTTTTCATCATCACAAAAACCAAAGTAGGATTTTATGTACGATGTTAAACAATGAATATGTCTTATTATCTCTTATTGAATCTAAACAATATTTCTTAATATTTTCTTACCATTAATAAATATATATTTCATGTATATTTAATTTTTAATATGTTAAGTCATTCGTTATTTCAGAAACTTTACTTATACTTTGTATTTACTTTTAAAATAGATTTCAATGTTATATTTGATTTTTTTAATGTATAAACCTTGACATCACGTTAATATTCATTCATTACTGTTTATATATCTGTTCTAGTTCACTGATCACAATTCAGGTCAAAGTATTGTAAAATTGTAGCAAACCGGATCATATATTTTACAAAATTAGACAAAGACCAATAACTAATATAATAATGTACTTTGTTTCTGGTATTCTGCGCTGGTTCTGTGATGAATCATATTTCTTTTTCCTTCATCATGTGTTTACCTCAGATCCTAATGTAAGAGTATCGTTGAGGAACGGAAATTAGGATATGATTTTAATGAGATTGGCTTGGAACTACTATAGTTTTAATCAGCTTCATTGCGGTGACAGAGTTAATAACGAATGAAGGAAGACAAATATCAATAAAGAATTTATGTAACATGTAGCGTAGTTGCACAGACAGTCCAGTTCAAAGTGTAACGTACAAGTAGAGACAAGTACACGTTTGTACGCTCGCCAGGTCCTGATACACGTGTCAATGTACTTACATGTGGAGTCTTGTACACCTTTATATATTGGCCAGAACTCAATATACGTGTAACTTACCGCTAGAAGCTAGAACACCTTGGCACGGTATACTGGCCAGGTCCTGATAAACGTGTAACTTAACTGTAGAGGCTGGAACAACTTGGTAGGGTATACTGGTCAGGTCCTGATACACGTGTAACATACCTGTTGAAACTGGAACACCTCTACGGTATACTGGTCAGGTCCTGATAAACGTGTAACTTACCTTTAGAGGCAGGAACACCTTGGTAAGGTATACTGGTCAGGTCCTGATAAACGTGTAACTTAACTGTAGAGGCTGGAACAACTTGGTACGGTATAAAGATCAGATCCTGATACACGTGTAACTAACCTGTAGAGGCTGGAACAACTTGGTACGGTATAAAGCTCCGATCCTGATACACGTGTAACTTACTTGTAGAGGCTGGTTCACCACGGTCCGGTATACTGGTCAGATCCTGATACACGCGTAACTAACCTGGAGAGGCAGGAAAACCTTGGTACGGTATACTAGTCAGATCCTGATACACGTGTAACTTACCTATACGGAACACCTTGGTACGGTATACTGGTCAGATCCTGATACACGTGTTACTTACCTGTTGAAGCTGGAACACCTCTGTACGGTATACTGGTCAGATTCTGATACACGTGTTACTTACCTGTTGAAACTGGAACACCTCTGTACGGTATACTGGTAAGATCCTGATACACGTGTAACCAACCTGTAGAGGCTGGAACACCTCTGTACGGTACACTAGTTACGCTCTGTTATACGTGAAACTTACCTGTAGAGGCTGGAACAACTTGGTAGGGTATACTGGTCAGATCCTGATACACGTGTAACATACCTGTAGAAGCTGGAACACCTCTACGGTATACTGGTCAGATCCTGATACACGTGTGACTTACCTGTTGAAGCTGGAACACCTCTGTATGGTATACTGGTAAGGTCCTGATAAACGTGTAACTTACCTGAAGAGGCTGATACAACTTGGTACGGTATACTGGTAAGGTCCTGATACACGTGTTACTTACCTGTAGAAGCTGGAACACCTCTGCACGGTAAAATGGTCAGATCCTGATACACGTGCAACTTACCTGTAGAGGCGGGTACACATTTGTACGATATACTGGTAAGATCCTGATACACGTGCAACGTACCTGTAGAGGTTGATACATCTTGGTACGGTACACTGGTCAGGTCCTGATACACGTGTTACTTACATGTAGAGGCTTATACACATGTGTACGGTACACTAGTTAGGTTCTGTTATATGTGTAACTTTTTACCTGTAGATGCTGGTACACCTTGATGAGGTTTACTGGTCAGGTCCTGATACACAGATACCACCTTAAAGATATAACTGTAACCTGGTGTGAGTCCCTCTACTGTATATGATGTGTCGTTGGTTGGTGTACTTCGTGTGTTATTATTACTGTCCTTGTCGGTAAACGTGACATTATAGTAATCGACTCCTCCTGTTGAGGGAGACGTGATGTCCAGTGTGACGGTAGTGGTTGTTTGGTTATTAACGGAAACATGACCAGGGGGATTTGGAACTGAAATAGTAACGTAAAATGATATTACTAACTAATAAAATAACTTAAAACTTATCTATTTAATATTTATAGAAGTTTTACACCTTGGTACAGTATACTGATCAGATCCTGGTACACGTGTAACTTACCTGTAGAAGCTGGAACACCTCTACGGTATACTGGTCAGATCCTGGTACACGTGTAACTTACCTGTAGAAGCTGGAACACCTCTGTAAGGTATACTGCTCAGGTCCTGATACACGTGTGATTTACATGAAGAGGCTGGTACTCCTTTGTACGGTACACTAGTCAGGTCCTGATACACGTGCAACGTACCTGTAGGGGTTGATACACCTTGGTACGTTATACTGGTCCGGTTCTGATACACGTGTTACTTACCTGTAGAGGCTGATACACATTGGTACGGTTTACTGGTAAGGTCCTGATACACGTTTAACATACCTGTAGAGGCTGGTACACCTTGGTATAGTATACTGGTCAAATCCTGAAACACGTGAAACTTATATATAATTACCTGTAGAGACTGGTACACCTTGATGAGGTTTACTGGTCAGGCCCTGATACACGGATACCACCTTAAAGATATAACTGTAACCTGGTGTGAGTCCCTCTACTGTATTTGATGTGTCGTTGGTTGGTGTACTTCGTGTGTTATTATTACTGTCCTTGTCGGTAAACGTGACATTATAGTAATCGACTCCTCCTGTTGAGGGAGACGTGATGTCCAGTGTGACGGTAGTGGTTGTTTGGTTATTAACGGAAACATGACCAGGGGGATTTGGAACTGAAATAGCAACGTAAAATGATATTACTAACTAATAAAATAACTTAAAACTTATCTATTTAATATTTATAGAAGTTTTAAACCTTGGTACAGTATACTGGTCAGATCCTGATACATGTGTAACATGTTGAGGCTGGAACACCTCTGTACGGTGTACTGGTCAGGTCCTGATACACGTGTTACTTACCTGTAGGGGCTGATACACCTTGGTACGGTTTACTGGTAAGGTCCTGATACACGTTTAACATACCTGTAGAGGCTGGTACACCTTGGTATAGTATACTGGTCAAATCCTGATACACGTGTAACTTACCTGTAGAGGCTGGTTCATCTTGGTACGGTACACTGGTCAGGTCCTGATACACGTGTAACTTACATGTAGAGGCTTATACACATGTGTACGGTACACTAGTTACGTTCTGTTATACGTGAAACTTACCTGTAGAGGCTGGTACACCTTGGTACGGTATACTGGTCAGGTCCTGATACACGGATACCACCTTAAAGACATAACTGTAACCTGGTGTGAGTCCCTCTACTGTATATGATGTGTCGTTGGTTGGTGTACTTCGTGTGTTATTATTACTGTCCTTGTCGGTAAACGTGACATTATAGTAATCGACTCCTCCTGTTGAGGGAGACGTGATGTCCAGTGTGACGGTAGTGGTTGTTTGGGTATTAACGGAAACATGACCAGGGGGATTTGGAACTGAAATAGCAACGTAAAAT